GGTGGAGATACACCTCATCTGCCTCTCACCATGTGTTATTGGTGGATTTGTGTGTCCATCTCCATTTTGTGTGATACTGAACAATGGACACCCAGGAAATCAGTAAGGACTTCCTCATCACGTTGCAACCCTTCATTCTTGATTTAGTCGACATCAGAGGCACATGTGAAATGGTATGTAGAATGCTGTAGAAGTTCTGGAAAGTAGTAATGAAGATAACAGAACATTTTGATACGAAACACATGGGTATCATATGATATGCAAGTACCTTTAAAGGCAAATTTAGAAAGAAATGCAAAAATCGAGAAAATGCTTTTAGACCCCAGAGGGTTATTGTTATATAATGTCAGTGCAAATATGGGCTATTCTGTAGTTCTTGAGTCAAATGTTGGTTTCGGGGAATCTTCGTTTTAAATGAATTCCAAAAACTCAATAGATTTGTTCATATACACAGCAGATTTCATTACAGAATGCACTGACCCTCCAAAATGGCTGATAATGTTAGTAGGACAACTCTGCTATTTCAGTGCACCACCCCACATGTCCCTGTATCAGTCTTTGGTACTTTCAAACATCAATTTCTCCAGTGAGTTTGAGCATAATTCACTACTAAACCAGCCTAACTGTACCCGAAACGCTGCACCAGAGACAGCAAAGTGAGCTAATTAATCTAATGAATATGGATGGGCCAAGTACTGTGCTCAGCAACAAAATGTTTAACTTGTAAAATGGTAAATTACATGAACAAATAAGCGGAGAAGCAAACTGCCAGGAGAGCTCCTGCTTACAAAGCCTGAATCTTGGAGACAGAAACCTGAAGCAGCTATGAAGGGAAATGAAGTATCTGATGTCAAGTGGATCAAGTAGAAGACCATACAGCATAATAACTGCTGTATTTGTTTCACATTCCAGTCACAATAGTAGTTGACTGAATATAACCCACTCACTGAAGCCTGTGGATTAAATTTCTGTCATCAAACTGTAGATGGGACAGTAGGCAAATGTCCTATGATGACGTTAGTGACCAAAACTGTCACAGTTTTTGATACAAGCGATTTTTTGGATATTTTAAGTTGGATTTATTACAGAATTAGATCTGACTCATTCTTTTTTTTCATCAATAGCATTTTCTTCCGTTACAAGCCGTAGTAGCAGTAATGCATAGCGGATGAGCGCCTTCTGTCATTTTAAACAAACATGATACTGTTTAGATTATGACTATGTAAACAGGCTTTGGTCTGGCGCATCACCGTGACTTTTTAAAAAGAGGATAACTGTATATAGTTATCAGAATTATCAGGGACGCAAGATGATCTCAGAATTATATTGGTATCAGCCGATAACTGCTTAACATTTCATTCCTGTCAAAAAAAAATTTTTTTCCATTTTTTATTTTTCTCATTTGAGCACAGCAGCTGTCCTTTACATTTAGGCCTGTCACAATTATTACATAATCGCCTGATCGTAATTATTTAAGCTGACTGCAATAATTTTCCACAGTCAGTAGATTTTGCAGTCATATTGTGCTGCAAAAAACACAATGTGAATTGGGCGTGTTGGGTTGTGGTGAGTAAATGTAAATAAAAGAAAGCACTAAATTCATTCATTGAGACATTGCGGAAATGATGAAAAACAAAAAACTACAAATTCTAACTGTTTTTTTGCTTTTTTCAGTCTCATGAAGAACATGTCGCTTTGCCTAACTTACATATGAATCTGTGTAATTGTAGACATGTGTAAGCTTGCTGACAACACTAACCGCACAGTGCTGATTCAACAGTACAATCAGGGTTAGCTACTACGTAAACACAGATAGCAAATAATGTGGCTAATCAGCCAATTCAGCCCCTTGAGGCTTATGTTTAATAGTTACAAGCCATGAACAAGAAAAGACAATTAAATCATTAATTATAATTATTTATATGACAATTAATTATCACCTACAATTTCATTTATGACGACTGGACCAATAGAAATGCTCCAAAATTGCTTAGAATAAAACCTCTTTACATTAACTTACATTGAACACAACTTTTTCCCTTCTCCTGTAAAGTTACCATTTTGGAGATACTTGTTTTTCTTTGGGCATCAATGATTTATTCGTTAAAAACATCGGTCAGATGTTAAGTATTGACTGATGTTTGGTGACAGAAGAGCAGCATTTAGGAGTCACTGGATTACTGTAAAAAATGTACTCATTTTATTGCATTTGTAATCCTACAGAAATAAATGTTATATTTCCTCATAATGCTAAATGTCATTGGCCTACGATTTCCATTTTGGTGCATTTTCAAACCATCCTTACATCACATCCAGCAAAGCTACACTTGGTACGCCAACCCTTCAAGATTTATCTACATACCTGTCTTAATCAACTTGGCTTGGGAAAAAATCAATAATGTCAATCATCAGGGAAAGTTCTGTGATCCAAAATGCACTTTTGATTACATGAAAACCTTGGGGACGACCGAGTCTATTACAGAGGTGTTTGAGATTCATCTGTTTGCTTGATTTCCACGGACTGACTTAGCTTCTAAACCCGTGGGAAATTACCCAGGGACGCACCTCCTGAACTGCTTACCTCGCCGTAGCAAATCTTCTGATTTGACTCATCACAGATTCTCCTTGCAATGATGTTCCATTCACTCTGACACAACATTCAAAGTACCCGTTTTTAAGATTTCAGTAACAGATTATAATTACACCCCCCCACACCTCTCGGCTCACGGGCTAAGCTTGGGAATTTACATTTAAATCACTTTGTAGGACCATATGAGGAAGCCATTTGCACAGGTGACTGACTCACTCATTCAGCTGTAACAATATGTGCATCCACTTTGATAAGCTTTCTCTGTTTTAAGCTTTTTTAAAGCATTTAATAGGATTGTGATTAGCAAATGTCTAGACACCATACAACTTAGAACCATTTACAGTAAGTCTGAGATAACAGTGACCTGCAAGTGGAAAGCAAGTGCTGTTTTGGTCCGTTCTCTTTCTTTTATATGGGACCAAGGCACTTAATACCTTTGTGCCAGTGTCGTTCTCCATTCCACAGTAAGAATTGCTCAGTAGTGGTGGTGACAGGTTTGGAAGTTTGAAGTAAAACATTTCTTGACATTACATTCATAGTGAAGAAACACATGCAGGTAAAAAATACACAAATCGTTAATGAAATGGCCACTTTGACATCGAGACCCCCGGTTTCTATGACCACCACTGTATAGATATCTGAGTCTGTAAGTTTCTATACAATCCACTCTGAATTAGGGCGATTAATCAAATTTTATTTTCAATTATGATTTTTTGTTCCAACGATTATAAAAACAAGATAATCGAGATAAAATGATTATTCTGCCGCCATGATGCTCGTGTTATAAATCCAGCGCGCTCCTTTCATTTACAGCAGTGCACGTTCGCCACTCACTACAAGCTTAAACTTACGTCGCCTAATTTATTTTGGTCTAAATTTTTTTTATTATTATTATTATTTTTATGTTGTGAAGTTTTCAGTAGGCTGTGGAAGTGCACTACAACACGGTTAAGTTTATTTATTTTATTAATTACTATTTAATTAATATTTATTTAAATGTACATATGTGTATAAATAATATATCATACATTTTATTTATTCTTTTTTTACATTTGTTTTTATTGTTTTACAGTTTAATAATATTTCAAATTCTGCCAAAAAGACACATTTTTTAAAAAGTTCCATAATTGCATGATGTTTACAGTCAATACATAATCGTGTTAAATAACTGTGAGCTCAGTATTGGCCAAAGTAATCGTGATTATGATTTCTGCCATAACTGAGCAGCCCTACTCTAAATGACTCTACATCTCAACAATTTATTTACGTAGCAATCGTAAAAAATCACCTTTAAAACAAGGCTTCCTAAAGGGTTCTTGGCTTGGACTTACAGCTATGAGAAAAAAAAAACTTCACATTATATGGAGGTTCTTTAAACTTTACAAAGGTTCACACCTCATTTGCAAAAATGGTTCCTGAGAGAACCATACATTGAGAAGTTCTTCATGGAATCCTTGAGCGTTCAAGGCGGTATGAACATAAACTAGAGTCTGTTGAGAGGAACAGTGTGGAGGCGATGGCTGTACAGATCAGCACTCCAGTTGTGATTTCTTTGTTCTAAATAGCACTGAGCTTACATGCACCGGGGTGGGGAGGAGGGGCGCGCACTGTTATGGTTACTCACTGTCAAGCTGATGATGGCTGTGCACAGCCATAAAGCGTGTGCTCTGAATGTGGCTAATGGAAGCCCATAGTTAAGCCATTAAAGATGAGCAGACCTTGAGTTCTCACAGTGTTCTTACTCTATGGAAACTGGAGACAGTGGGTTCTGTAACAGCTTTCTGAAGGTTCTCCTCTGAGATGGGCAATAATCAGAAAACAGTAACATTACACACTGCTTCTCAGCCACAGTGGGCTTTAGTAATTACAAATAGAAACCCATTCTAGCTGCACGGGTTTGCACGTAGCCATAACAGGCAACTGAATAGCCATAACAGGCTATCAGCAGCTTTAGCTTTGCTTCTTTTCATGCTGTGATACTGGAAATAGCTGAGCATCTCACGTCAGCCCTGAAACCACTCTCATTCACTTCGCAAGCCTCCAGCAACAGAGCTGCGGCTGGCTTCTTAGTCGAATTTTCCGTTCCACCTTAAATGGTGCAGCAGTTACATTCTGGCGCCTCAGCGTAACTGCTGCACCATTTAAGGTGGAACGGAAAATTCGAAAAAGAAGCCAACTTCAGCCTCGTCCTCCAGCACCAATACGTTCGGAAGTATCTTGGGGAGGGTTGAGGGTTAAAGCAGCTGTGGAAAACATCTCCACAGAGTCAGTTTAGCTTCAAAAAAACTAAAAAACACAATGTTTTCCAGATGGCTATGAGCACAACACATCGTAGACCTATCTCATTACCCATAATCACCCATCAGCAAGAAACGTACTGTTTTTTTTGTAGTGTGTTTTCGCGACGTACCTCGACTACACTTCGTCGAAAACCGAACCCCAGATGTTCCTCCGTGCTCCTCCGTGCTCCTCCACTCCTGCTATGTCCAGAGTTTCCTTTGTTTTGTTGTGTTCAAAATTCCAATTCAAAAACTGGCATGTTGCAGCTTTAACGTCGCCGAGCGAGAAAAATGGCAACCGTATGGCCAAAAATGGTCTAACGGTACATCCCTCATCGCGCCCGCGTGCCGCTCAGCAACCCTCGTTTGCGAGAAATCCGTTAAAAGGCGTTTGAAGCGCGCGGAGGAGCGCAGGGAAGGCGTCCGCGCCGCCGTGCTCGCGCAGCCTCCTCTCACACCGCCCATTGAGCAGCTGGAGGAGGAGGCAGTGAATGGACAGGAAGAGTGGATCACATGCCGAATCCATGCTCCTCTTCTTCAGCTCATGATGAAGGGCTGCCTCCATCAGAGACCTCCTCCGCGCGACCCCAGCGCTCTTCTTCTCGTTTTGGCTCTTAGTGTGGCCAAAACTATGGAAGCCCACTGGAGAAAAACATACAGCCATTTAATAAGTCATAATTATGAGAAAGTTTTCGATGATTAAGCCTTAGTATCTCAAAATTATGACATAGCATCTCGTCATTTTGACATGCTATCTCATATTAATGACTTAACATCTCATAATAATAAGAACGTGTTCTCACAATTATAAGAAAGTAGGTCATAATTTAGAAAAAAGTAAATCATCATTATGAGATGCTAAGTCATAATTGTTAGATATTAAGTCATAATTATGAGAAGGTGAGCCATACTTATGAGATGTTGAGTCAGAATTATGAGATACTAAATCATAATAATGATAGGATCACATTATTATGAAATGGCAAGTCAAAAATGCGAGGTACTAAGTCATAATTGTGAGATAGAATCTCATTATGAGATAGCAAGTCATAATTATGAGAAAGTAAGTAATAATTATGACAGTCATTATTTTAAAAAGTCACAATTATGAAAAATTAAGTCATAATTATGATAAAGTTGTAATAATGAGATTGTTCTTCATAATTATGACATAGTAAATCATTATTATGACATAGTAAATCTTTATTATGAGATACTAAGTCATAATTATGAGATAGCAAGTCATAATTTTGAGAAAGTAAGTAATAATTGAGTCATTATTTTAAAAAGTCATAATGACGAGATATTAAGTCATAATTATGACATAGTAAATCATTATTATAAGACACTAAAATGGTTCTAAACAACCATTCCCATGCTAAAGAACCCTTGAAGAATCATCTTTTTTTAAGAATGTATGGTGAACCTTTTCATATCAAACAGCTCTGAATGATTACATCTCAATCACTGAATCATGCAGCAGTGTTGAAAAATTGGTGGAATTCCCTCTTAAAGAACCATCCCTTGAAAGGTTCTTTAGGGAAGCAAAAGTGGTTCTTTAACCACTCCAAACAGCCATTTTGTGGCAATTAAATTTGTAAGGGTGTACAGCCATTTTTCAGTGGGCTTTCTCTTCAGATGTATGGGCTACCAATTCCAGATGTCCAGTCGGCCTTTAGATTTATAATGTGAAAATTCTCCTAAACCACTACCACTGGAGAATTTACATATGCAGTGCTACATTGGATGGAATTGTCTTTCCAAATGAGTATGCATGCTCTTCATCCTCTTATTGATTCTCTTTCATGTGGCCATTAGGGAGCAGAATCAGAAGCCTCTGAACTGGATGCAGAAGGTTGAACTGTAGTTTGTGAAGCTCTGTAAGATAGTAATATTGAGCGCTGAGTACAGAAAGCACAACTATTAAAGCAACGCTGTTGAAGGGGTTTTTCAACGTGAAGCAACTGCCCATTGACTTATACAAGTATGTTTTGAGTCAATGGGTTTTTAATGTGTTACATAATGACTGTTTATGGTAAACAACCATGCGGTACAAATGTGGCAGATCTGTACACCAGAGTATTCCTTTAATGTTCATGTCCTCAACAAGCACATCTCACCAAATGGCCAAATGATATTTCAAGAGCTGCACGCATCCCCTTTAACGCTGCATGTTTCCATTGACATTGTAGCACTGTTATGTAACGCAGACAGGGAAGACTGTCTTCTTCATGAGTTGGTGAATGCATGAATAAAGCTTCCCTTGAGGCTGCTGTTGCAGCCAGTGAGAAAAATACATGAGAACTAACTCAATGAACCAGACCAGGGACGCGAGTGCTGCTGAGTTTAAATCGCAGCTCAGTCATTATTAATATCAACTTGAGTAGCGTAATCTTTTAGCCAGCCCTGGTCAATTTAGTGCAATGTTTTGAGGCAGAGTTCCCAAGAGAGAAACAGATTTATGGTCTGTAAGTGTCTGAGTAGCGCACAGCAGATGGATGATGGATAAGTTCAAAGTGTTTTTCACTGTATTTTTATCAAATAAATAGCATATCATCATGTTGCATTCTTCTGGAGTGCCAGCTTATGACGGCTTATAATTATACAATGCAGCAATGCTAGCAAGTCAACCCACTATTAATATTTACACTAGTAGTGGGTGGTAGTGGCTTAACTAGAATCGAATTGGCCCTGGTCAAAATAAAAAGAGGAAAAAAAAATGAAAATGGACCTCACATAGAAACTTTACCTTTAACTAATCTAAAAAATATGCAATATACATGTCTACATAGTCCCCACAAACTATTATAACACCATCTTATTATATTCTGTTTATATGTTTATATTCATTGTATTTAATGGTGTATTCTTGTACACCTACAGTACTGTGCAAAAGTCAGACACTGTTTATTTATTCCAGTCAAAACAGTCATTAAGGACAAGTTATTAATTTTTCAGTGTCAGAAAAAAAGCAAGAAACATGTAACCAGAAAATACACCAAAGCCCCCAACACTGAGAGTAATATCAAGTCTATCAGTATTTCATTTGTCCACTCTTTACTTATGTGCTCCCTGTCACTTTAACTCTTCTATCCTTCCAATTTTAAGGTAAAAGCTACAGCTGCAACAAAAACTGTCCCTTCAAAGAGGCACTAGCATTCACACAAGAAGCCTTAGCTAAACAATGTGGCTAAAAGTATGTGGACATCCCTCCTAATAATTGAGTTCAGGTATTTTAGCCACACCTATTGCTAACAGGTGTATAAAATCAAGCACATAGCCTTGCAATCTCCACAGATGAACACTGGCAGCATGGATCATAGACTAGATCATAGAATGGATCATACAGAAGCTCAGTGATTTTAAATGTGGCGTTCTCATAGAATGCCACCCTTATGACAAGTTGGTTCATGAAATTTCTGTAAGTGCTATTATTGTGAAACGCAAGCATCTGAGATTAGTAACAGCTCAGTTACGAATCAGACCAAGCAAACTCACAGAGTGGGGCTGCACATGCTGAAGCTCATAGCACATAAAAATCACCTATCCTGTGTTGCATCCCTCACTACAGAGTTCCAAACTGTCTATGAAGGCAACAATTGTACAAGAACTGTGTGTCGGGAGCTTCATGAAAAGGGTTTCCATGACCAAGCAGCTGCACACAGGCCTAAGATCAAAATGCGCAATACCAAGTGTCAGCTGGAGTGGTGTAAAGCATGCTGCCACTGGACTCTGGAGAACCTGTTTTTAGGAGTGATGAATCACGCTTCACTATCTGTCTATGGATGAATCTGGGTTTGACGGATGCCAGGAGAACAATACCTACTAGAATGCATGGTGCAGGGTGATTAATGGTCTGGGTGGTCTGTGGCTGTTTTTCAGGGTTTGGGCCCCTTAGTTCCAGTGAAGGGTGATGATACTGCTACAGCATACAAAGACATTTTAGACAATTATATGCTTCCAACTTTTTGGCAACAGTTTGGGGAAGGCCTTTTCCTCTACCCCTGTGCACAAAGCAAAGTCCATAAAGATGCTTTTATGAGCTTGGTGGCCTGTACAGAGCCCTGACCTCAACTCCTTTGGGATGAACAGAAACATCAATTGCCAGCCTGGCCTTCTCGTCCAACTTCCGTGCCTGACCTCACGAATGCTCTTTTGAAACCCCACAGACACACTCAAAAATCTTGTGGAAAGCCTTCCTAGAAGAGTGAAGGCTGTCAAGGGGGGGCAACTCCATATTAAAGCCCATTGGTTTTGAGATGGGATGTTCAACAGTCCACATACTACAAATTTCTTTCTCATGTGCATCTAAAATGGCTAAAGGACATATTTCTGAGGAGGTTAGATGTAAGATAACTGACTTGCATGAGGAAGAGGAAAGTCAAAGTAAAATAAGTAAAAGCAAACAAAAACAGTTCTCAAAGTTCCCAAAACTGTGTTTAAAAATGATTAAAAGACAGAGAAAAATAGGGACTTGGACCTCAGCATCTTGAATGTGTTTGGGATTAGTTGCATTGTGAGAAGCAGTAAATGCAACTTCTGAGGCTGAACCTGTATGAAGAAGTACTTAATAGCCGTTTTGACAGGAAATTAAATAAATGAAAGAGTGGTCTCTGACTTTTGCACAACACCATACTTGTACTGTTAGGGTATTTTTGGCTCCAGTTGTACCTCGTCTTCTATCTTGTCATCATCTTGTAGATGGTGTGTAATCTGCAGTAGTCTCCTCTGTAATAATACGTGTCTCCATCATGCAGGTCCCTCTTAGAGTTAATTAAAAATGGTATTGAAGCCCTTGGGTGGTCCCTTTTTTATTTCAGTTAAGGAGCAGAGTGTTCCCCTTTGAAGAGCACTGAGGAGCATTTAGTAGCGCATTAGAATTCAGCAGCGTTCGTGCATAGGTGTGGTGCTGCATCTCCATCAGCCTCCTGAGGTTTGAAGGAGGTTGTTGGTTGCGATGGTAAGAAAAGACATTACAGGCCATACAGCATCCATCCAGGCTCAGTTAATGATCCCAAGGCATGTTTAAAGCAGTGCTCAGTAGAACCTGTTTAGTGTTGAAGGCTTACTCTCTCCTTTCTGATTCTGTTTAAAACATTAATGGAAACTCAAAGGAATTTCATCACACACAACTGCACACCACATTAGAAACCTTCTTGTGTTCTGCCACCTTATGAATTGTGGGCCTGAAGAGAAAAGTCATTTTTTAGGTGCTTAAAATTTTGCAGTCAAACTACACACAACGAAACGGCAACTGTTACAACCAGAATTAATGTGCTGCAAAATTTTCATGAGCCACAGTCCTGATTGAAAAATGAAAAAAATAAAAAAACAGCAAAAAACAAATGGATCGGGCCTACACAACCACACCATGGATGAAATGAATGCATCAGGCCTACGCACTCATTTTAGAGG